AAATTCAACTTACACTGACTTTATGGAAAGTGTTTGTTAACATGGCAATCAGTAGGTTTAAGGCAACCAAGGATGTAACTAAGTAACCAGCAAACATCAGATTGCCAGTGACTTCAGTAACTTCAAAACCCTGAACGGTTTTGAAAAGATGTGATTCAGTAAGGCCAAAGAGTGCCCAGAACATGTGGCTGAACGTTCCTTCCGCTCTGTAAGTAAAAAGGGATTATTATTATATGATGATGCTCTTTAGAGCCGCACCAAGAAACGTTTGCGGGAAGCGATGGCCGAAGGTGCTGAAGGTTTGATATTTGAAAAGAGTAGTTACAAATGCTGATCAAAGATATCTGAGGGTGAGATGAAATCTCCGAGCGGCTTTCCCCTCCCCTTTCTTTCATTCATGCTCATGAAACTACAACAAACATGCCTCAAATGGAATCGAGCTGGTCTCCTCACATAGASCAGTTCTAAATCCAAAATTAACATACCCTTCAAACACGTGTGTTGCATTTTGGATGGATGTTTCATTCCGTGATGTTTTGAGAGTCTCGATATACTGTGAGTAAAGYTTTCTCARTCCGATACAAAAGGCGAAGAAGGCAATGCCAAAAAGAATGAAGAACTTCACYACATCGATAACCATTTTCATCATTGATAGATGCAAAGGTCCAAATTCGTAGTTCACCTATTAAAGAGAATTCATTACATAATATTTATACAAGATTTCTATTACATTYTATATGTAATTTCTCCTACTTCATGTCATACATCTTGCAAGTACACATAGTGATGAGATTATATACCCAATTCGTCTTTTTATGAATATACGCGAAAATTTGTTGGGCACTCGCGTGTCCAAACTAATCAGAACATGAAACCTTTTGTTTTTATGTTTCAAAACGATTGGACACGGTTACGTTTCGTAAAGTTTCTCACCTGAAAGTGAGAGGATGCTTGGAAAAATGTTAGGACAAGGGCTAAAGCGTAAAAACTGTGCGATAGAAGAAGTAARGTTCGAGGAGCAACATTGTTCTCATTCAGGATAGTGCGCAACGAGACAGACAAAGTATCCTGATCCTTGGCAAGGCTTATAAACCCAATGAGCCACAGGATTCCCGTTAACACGAAAAGTACTACAACTAAAATAGTACACAAATGCCACCAYTGAGATGTGTATCGTTCTTTGCCTTGTCGTTTTGCTTGTTTGATTTCCTCAACCATGATACCAATAACCCATAAAGCAACAAGAACATCTTWAAAYACAAAAAGAGGAAGGCAATTTYATCKTCAATCATGCACCATAACATTAAAAATTTGCAGAATTTGTTGTTATCTGAAATGATATTGTGCTTTCAGTTATGTGATCAAWTKTTTTTWAWTTTTTTGTTTATTTCTTCACTTCCAATCGCATTGTTGCGGTTGCAWAAAGAGACTAAGCAAAGRTTGGAAAACGATAGGCGCCCTAAAAATAATATACGTGTGTAGGACCATACAACTCTTTTATTTTACACTGAGCAAACCTTCGACTAAGATACTGAAAAAAATTATAAAAAATTGATGCAGATCATATAACAATAAAGGAAACAAGAAAATAAAAAAACACCTAACATCCCAAAAAACTTTTCTTACCTATGACCGTTATATTCAAACCTTGAGAGTTTGGTAGTTTATCCTGAAACGCGGCGGCAATTAAGATACACAAAAACCACACCATCGACCCAAGATGACTAAGGTACTTGACCATCGGCACTTCCAGCCATCTTGTCCAGCAATTCGTTGGTAGAAACTGGTACATCAACATGAAGAATGGCATAAACATCCAATAAACGATTATGACGATGGAGTTGATGAAAAAGTTGTGTTCTTCCATTCCTTTCAGTCCATGGTAAACTACTGAGTTTAGCATCACTTGGCTGTATCTATGGGCAATAAACTGCAAAATTAAGAATCTGTTGTTAGTTTATTTTTGTCGCAGTGTCTCAATCGAATCAATATTAATTGTTGAATGTCTTAACTCTACTTAAAAAGGTGGATCCGATGATGAAATTTTGTGTGCTACCAATGTCATAATTTGGCAACAATTCATTGATCATCCTCGAACTTCTTCTCAAATAATTAAATCACAAAAATGCGTAAATTAAAAAAAAGATGAAATGTTAGGTTAGTCTTCCAAAGAGTGTAGCCTCAGACACCATTCCTTACGCAATCGGGCTGTACTTACTTTTTTATTGCCATATTTAATAGCAAAGTTCAGGACACTGAGAATTTTCTGGTGAGATGTTCCTCCAATGACATCAACGCCTGAATCCCCTTGCAGAGCTGGCATGGTCATGAACAGTGAAATCTCTTCAAGATCACTGCACTGGTCAAGCAGAGAGACAGCAAAATCCTCACATTTTTCTGACAATTTCAAGTAATCTTCTCGAAACTCAAACTCGATGTCAGCGTGATGGAGAATCTCTCG